TATATATATCAAGTTGAGGTTGGGCAGAATGGCCACTATACAAGTATAGTCCATTTACCATTTGCAGCCCCAGAAAGCCTTTTTTGTTGTGGTTTGCCCTCAACACTATTTTTCTTTGAAACATGTGAAAAAAGTAGGAAGTAAAAGATCAAATAGCATTTCGTAAATGCTTTGCAGAATGGTTAATCCATGACATACTTCTGCTCAGACTGTTTATGGATCTTTCAGGTTTCTGATAAAATGTGTCACCCCTATAGTAAATTCATTCCTATGACCTTGCTGGTGTAACAGAGCCATGACCCAAAACAATCACAGGTTTGCCTTCCTGCATATCTGTGTGGTTTGCATGTTCTCCCCTTGGACACGAGTGTACTCCAGCTTCCTCACACAGACAAAAAACAAGCATATTAGGTTAACTGGGAGCACTAAATTGCCTCTATGTGTCAATGAGAGTGTGAATGGTTGTTTGACTCCATATGGTTCTGTAATGGAGAACAAAGTGAAAAGTAGGTAAACAATGATCTCACAGAAGGAATAGAACTCTGTTCATTGATTGTGACTCTACTTTGACATTTTTCATGTATCTATAACTTTAGGTCACTGTGGCACTCTGCCTAGGATGAAGGTCATGGGCATCATCTCTGAACGTGGCTTGACACCCTCCATCCCAACTTCACCATCTCATGGCTCCCTGGAGCGCTACAGCACCTTCTCACCTCCTCCCCAGCAGGATGCTCAGAACCCCAGCATCTCACCTGTTCTCAGACGCAGCATGACATTGGACCGCAGGCACTGGCCACATCTCACAAAGGTGAAGGACAAAGTTCTTGTCAGAGTTTAAATATTAKTCTTTTTACGGCACACTGAATAAAATCAGAAGTCAGGTTAATACCAGAGTAAAAAGACAAGTTGGAACCAAAAGTCCTTTCCACTAGTGTCACTTAGTGTAGTGTCGGTACGGTTCCAGGCCATTTCCATTAGGCCAGATTCATGGAACTAGCCCTTTTTTTGGTACCTGCTTTGTTGTGGTTCCAAGCAGTCCCAGTCTACACCAAAATGCGACATCAAAACACTGTTTGTCATTGATTGGCTAGGGGATGGAGTCAGTGGTTGAGTCTGAGCTGCCTTTACAACAACAACTCGAGGCGCCATTTTTTCAATTGTAGCAGCAACATTAGTCGTGTTTCCATCCAATTTTAATTTGAATATTTAGCATATTGTTAAAATTTTGCTAAGGAAAAAAAGAAGAAATGCGAATCAGACGTGTTTCCATCAACTGCCTTGATGCGAGTCCACCAGGTTACACACAGTGTAATTACGTCAGACGCATGGCTGCAGTAAACAGGAAGTACAAGTCGCAAAACTCGCAGGGACCCATCCCAGAACAATGGAGAGAAGTTATCAGGAACTTGTTGCTACTATTGGGAAAGTTGTACTTATTCTGTCATATCAAATAGTTTTGTCAATGTTACAAGCTGTCTGGAGACGTACATAAAGAAATGTTATTTTCTTCATGTTACGGGAATAACTGAGAAGATGCCGACTGCAGAAGGAGGGTCCAGCTGCAGCCCCGGCTGCAGTTGCTCTAGTACCGGTTTGGCCAGACAATGGTAAGAGCTGATCAACACCGTGAGGTAAATTTTCACTATGTCAGAACTTATTCGGCAAATGTGTTTCCATCTCTCATTTTGCACATTAACTCTTTTTCAAAAAATCCAAAAACCACCTCCAACAACCGCCCAAAACACAACCACTGGAACCGGACTGGAACGTCAATGGAAAAGCTCTCAAACTGACCCGTTCCGACACTGACCGTACCGACATAACACTAAGTGGTACTAGTGGAAAAGGGGCACTAAAGACCAAACAAAAGATTTTTTTGCCGTAATACTGTACTTGACTGTAGAATATTTGATTAAAAATACACTGAACACAAAGTTAAATGTAACACTATTGTTTTTGCTCCCATTTTTCATGAGCTGAACTCAAATATCAAAGATTTTTCAATGTACACAATAGATCTTCTTCTTTCAAATATTGTTCAGAAATTTGTGTAAATCAATGTTATGGGCACTTCTCTTTGAAGAGATAATCCATCCAACCTTGCAGGCGTGGCATATCTAGATGCTGATTAGACAGCGTCACTATTGTACAGGTGTGCCATAAGCTGGCCACAATAAAAGTAATTTTTCAAATTCAGTAATTTTTTCCAATAATATATCCTTACTCCAAAAACTCCTTACTTACTTACTTAATTACTTATTATTCCTACTCCAAAGACTCTAAAGGAGTCCTATTTTAAATCTACTGTAACAAATGTTATTGATCATTTACCAATAAATACTTCCTGGACCTACAGTTTATAGTAGGAGTCTTAGCCATACTTTTTTCTCTCGATCTTCTGGTAGATGTTGAACTTGGTTTTAACTTTCAAAAGAGTGTTCTTTCAGAACTGTGCTGGCTTTCTTAGAATTTGTTTTAGCAAAGTCCATCTATCCTTTTTATTCTTGAGGCAGCTTATAAGTGGTTTGCATTGTGCAGGAAAACATCTGTATTTACTTTGATGCAGTCTTGTATTTATGGTAGATTTGGTATATTACTGTTAGAGGTGTCCGGATACAACTTTTTTCACTTCCGATACGATACAGATATTGACCGATACCATATCAGTACAAATCACACACTTTTACCTATTTTGTAGTGTGAAATCTTAGAAAAGTCATCAAGTCAAACAGTGAAAAAGAGGAGGTATGAGAAAAATTGACCCATTTATTTTTAACCAATGGATCACATACATTTTAAACTGAAGAACATTCTACAATTTAATAAAATAAATAAATTAGAATACCCTGAAAAACAAAACATAATAAAAACAAAATGTACATTTAAAGTGTAAAATAATTCAATTCATTTAAGTCACTCCAGTTATTTATTTTTTTTACTATCTGTCAGCCTGGTGCTGCTTTATGGTGGGACAAAATAAAACCCCACATTATTGTCCAATGTCCATCTGTTCAAAGTTAAGAGTCCACAGCTCCAATTTTACTGACTGTGCCCAAAACAATGTGATCATTGCACTTAATCGTCACTAAAACAAGTGTGTAAACACATTAAACATCACTCTAATAACGAGCAAAAAATAAATAGTAAGAATTAGTCTGTTAATTAAATTGATAACTACCTTTCTTACTGCTGGATTTCCACTTTCTACAGTCTGAGCATCAGGTGGAGATTAGCCTCTCGCTCCTGCAGGGAGCAGTTTTTATCACTGCTCTCGCCATGTTACGCTCGTTTTTCAAAACAAAATCTGCCCTCTCCTTTCTTCTGTCCATCAACCCCAGAGCTAATCCACAGGCAGCATTCTGCTGATGTCAAAACCGTAAGCATGCTGTCCTTGCTTCTGCCTGCTAGAACCACCGGAGAGGAGGTTCTGTGCGGTTGGAACCATAGAGACGCTTTTGAACCGAGCCRAACTGCACAGCTGCTACCAGGGTGGAGAGTGGTTGTCGCTCTGGTTTAAAACATTCACGATTCTGTGCCCCCATGGAAAACTTGTGCGTGACAATTTTGCACTTAGCTTCAACTCTGTTTTTGATGAAAATAGAAAGTACTGCCGACATCGCTCCTACTTCTTGCTACTTTGCGCAACATGTTGTGATCACGTGGKCTCTGCATGCTGGATCCAAGCGCTGCTGGATAGAAATGCTGGAGCAGAGTCAGTGGACTGGTGAATTGAGCTGCTTATATCAGAGCGCTTTTATTGGACATTTTTTCTGCAGGCCGATAAAATCCGATACTTGTTTTTTGGCTGATATCGGACCGATATCTGATATCAATATTGGATTGGGACACCCCTAATTACTGTATTATCTTATTACACTGATACGCCCACCTCCTGGAGAGCGTTGTTCACTTGGTTGGCTGTTGTGAAGGGGTTTCTCTTCACCATGGAAATTATTCTGCGATCATCCACCACTATTGTCTCCTGTGGTCATCCAAGTCTTTTTGCGTTGATGAGTTCACCAGTGCTTTCTTTCTTTGTTCAGATTCAGGATGTACCAAACTGTAGATTTTGCCACTCCTAAATACAGTAGTAGTAATAATAGCAATTTCTCAAATGCAGTGGTGGGTACAGTTCCACTAAAGCACTAATAGGGGAACTAATTTCCTGATTAGTGCTTTAGGGCTTTTGCTAATTTTCCAGTTTATTAGTGGATTAGCACTTGCTAAATTTATAGGCTAAATTTAGAAGCACTAAATATATCTATAAATGTTATTGATCAACATTATTGTTAATTGCTGAGGTTGAAAGCTGTCACACATTTTGTTCATATGTGTGTCACTTATCAATTAGGTGATGTATTGACAATAAATTAACTCAAATAAGGCTGTGGAATTTCAATGATAAGGCTTAAGAGAACAAAATGGCAATATGTGACTCATGTTGTCTGTTGAAGAGTGTTCCATTGCTAGGTTATTTTAGTGCTTTAGAATTACAGTAGCTATTGCTAAATTTTTTAGTGTGTTATTGCTTTAGACCTAAGGGACCCAAATATTTGAGTTAAGGCTAGTGGAACTAATTTTTTGAATAGTGCTGCCTACCACTGCTCAGATGGGATTTTTCTGTTTTCAGAGCCTATGGGTATGGCAACTGGGGATGGATAAAAAACCCATATGAGCGGGGGCCTCATAAGTGGGCCCATTGCTCTCCCCAAAAAGACACTGGTCTGTATTCAAACCTTCGCGTCCCTCAGATGAAGTACACAAGGTTAGAAACACTCAGTGGTCTGAGCTTCTCCGGATCCATAGAGGGGTCCYCAAGAATTATTTTCCTTTTACTGCTCAGAGCCAGGCAGTGGCCTAAGTAGTGCAAAGAGGTCTCTAATTCAATACCACAGGCATCACACAGACCATTGTCATGGAGTCCCATCACCATTTTGTGGTGATTGAGCAGATTGTGCTCAGTTAGGACTCCAACCAGTGTACTTAGAGTTTTGTTTGTCAGGGTGATGAGGGCATATGGAGTGTTGACATCTAATCCAGGCCTGTTCAGCCTATAGACTGTTGTTGAAATACCTACAACAGGCTCTGGTCCTTTGAAGTGAGCCTGACTGCCAGCTTTTGCAAGATAGTCAGCTCTCTCTTTACCATTAATGCCAGTATGTCCTGGTACCCATTTAACAGTAACACTGTTATCTCTCTCCAGTTGATTGACTGCTTCGGCACACTCCCAAGCCAGTAATGACATAAAGTGTGGCCCTTGAAGAGCTCTAATAGCAGCTTGGCTATCTGTTAGGATGACTGTTTCCTTCTGTGTACACTGAAGGTCTTTGTGAGATGCCACACACTGGTGGATTGCGTATATCTCAGCTTGAGATACAGTTGCAAAACAACCTAGTGGGCATTTGTACTCTCTCACACTGTGGTTGTGCAAAATAAGCACCCCTGCACCTACTCACCTCTTCAGAAGGGATCCTTCTACTGTATAAA